GGCTGGGGGCCCCGGCTCATACACTCCCCGAAGGGATGCTACGGCCCCGGGCGGCCGGACCGGACGGTGGCTAAGCTGGGGATCCGGCGGGCTCGGATCGGCGCCGCCCCCGCTCCCGGCTCCCGCATGTGTCGCGGTGGCCGGGACCCCCTCCCTACACCTTGGGGGGTCCTTCGCCCCACGCCCCGGGGCGAGGCAAAAAGCCCAGCCCCTCGCGGGCGTCCTCTCCCGGCTGAGCAGCTACCAGTCCCGATCCGCGGCAGCCGCCTCCCTGCCCCCCCGGCCGCGGGCTCCGGCTCGGGCTTCGGCTCCGGCTGGGGCTCCGGCTCCGGCGTGTGCAGCAGCCGCTGCCGGCCGGGAAGGTAAGGGGGGGAGCAGACGGCGGCCGCGGCTCCCGCTGGCCCGGGCTGAGGCGAAGGTTTCGGCGGCGGCCAGTGCACGGGCGCCCGGTCTCTCGGATGCTCGCTCGCTCACTCGCTTCTCACGCTCTCTCTCACCGGCGGCGGCGGCAGCAGCGCCCGGAGCTCAGCTCGCTGTCTCCCTCGCTCTGTGCGGGGCTCTCGCCTCACTCCAGAGAGGGGCGGGAGGAGAGCGGCGCCCGGCGATGACGCAAGTCGCCTAGCAACCGCTCTCCTTCCCCCCCCTCCCTTCCCTTTCCTCTGCCGGCCTTTTCTCCCCCCCTCCTGCTCCAGACACCCCGCCCTGCGAGGCGGCGGCGCGCGCTGATGACGCCGCAAGGGAAGAGGAAGTCGAGATCCGCAAGCGGGTGGGTGCGCCTCGGGCCGCGGGACTGCTGCTGCTGCCGCCGCCGCCGCCGCCACCGCCTCTACGGCCGCGTCAGAACTAAAGAGAGGAAGGGGAGGAGCCCGGGCGAAGCCTAAGCTACCGCCTGATCTTACCCCTGACCCGAGGGCGGTGCGGAGAGCGGGCGCCGTCGCCCGTTCCCTCCGGGGCAGGTGCGGACCGCTCCTCTGGGAACGAGGAGGAGGCGCAGGCCCCGGAGCTGGGCTCGGGCGCGCACCACCCCGAAGGTGAGGCATTTTGGCCCGGAGCTGGCTCTGGAACGGCGAGACGGGTGGAAGAATTGACCTCCAGCCCTGGGGCTGCACCTGCTCCCGGGAGCAAGCGCCCCACCCTTCCCGCGGCACGGGGTGCTGGTGCGGTGCGAAGGTTTTGATGGGTGAATGAATGCCTCTCGCACCGCAGTCCCGGAACTCGGCGACAGCGGGGGAAGTGCAAGTGTTTTTGTATATCGCAGCGTGGAAGCCTGAGAGTTGTAATACACTCTCCCACCCTCTAGCCGTGAAAGGAAAGGGATGCGGCTTCACGGAGGGAGTCGCTACTTGAGGATTTTGTGGGTGGGAAAGGAGGCGGATTGCCGGGGTTGGGAAGCGGAGGGCTGAAAGCGAACCAACTCTGGGATATTATAAAGGGGATTCCTACGTTCTCAAGGAGCGGATGTAGTCTTAAAAGAATGACTTTTAAGAGTCATTCTTGCTTGTCTCTCGGATTTTTTTTTTTTTGAGCGCTAATCTTGTTCATCACAGTGCCTCTTACTATCTTCAAAAAATTTTGGCCCGCGTCTCAAGACTTAACTCAAATGTGCCCTCTGTGCGCGCGTTCTCTCTCAGTCTATTCCTCCCTCCCTCTCCTCCTCCTCTCCCCCCTCCCTACCTGTCTCTCTCCCCTTCTGTTATTAATAAATGGATTGAGCTGTTTGTCCTACAGATTCAGTTCTAGGAAATAAGTTTTAGGAAGAGCTTAGTGAAACTTAAGTTGTGGTTCTCTAGTAAAAGAATCTTCAAAATAAAAGACCACAATCCTCAGGAATCTGTCTAGAACCTGCCCTTATGAGTGGTGTGAGAATGAGGTTAAAGCAGCAGCAAAGATGAAGGGAAACCATTCCACGGTTGTGTGGCCCGACACCCTGTCCCTCCTCTGGTAGCAGCAGTGATGGATATCATAAGCGCTTTCCGTCTTTCAGCCCTGCTTGGGGAGATTGGACTAAATGCACTACCCACATATTTGGGAAGCCCGGGGTTTGCCACTGCTGCCACCACCGCATGCAAACATTAGATCAAGGAAATGTCTACAGTGATCAATCAGGGGTTCATTTTTGTTAGAAGGCTGAAAAAAAAAGTGAGTAAATGAGGGAGGAGGATGCCACAAAGGTAAGGACAGACTCACAGTTCGCCGGGAGCCAGGAGTTAAATCTCTCTCCCTCCGTGCGCTGGGTTTGACGGTCTACAAACGTGTTCCATCGCCTGCCATGTCCAACTTAAGACTCAGAGAATCCGATCAATAAGTAATAGCCGGACGTGGCGACAGCAGAAATTAAATTCAGTATAGGTTTAGAGGAGTTTAACTTTGTGGACTCTGAATGGAAAGAGTTCAAACATCAAGTTCTACAAATGAGAATAAGCTTCCAGGAAAGTGGGCACCACGCAGTGGTCAGAGGCCCGACCTGTTTTGTTGCCAAAGGTTCCACTTCAGAACCTCATCCCTGAGGATAGAATGGAACTCAGAAGAGCCCCCTCCTTAGGAATAGTAGCTCCACTAAGCTTACAGAATAAGATCCATTCCCCTCCCCTCCCAGCCTAGTAACAACTGCTGGAGAGGAGGGATTCTTACATCTCCAGCTGGTTCTGTATCCTCGCAGCTCCACATTCTGCCTATTGATGAAATGGAGAAATGCATCAGTTAAATCAGATTTCCCAACATGTAAATCAGGATCAAAAACGCATTTCAGCTAGCAGGGTTCTTTTCCTGGCTCACCAGTTTGTCATAAAGATCTGCATGCTGGGTTAAAGTATGGCAAAGGGCTTTCTGTAGAGGTTTCATAACTTCTTCCTTGAAAGTGGACTTGTATGGGAAACTAATCGATGTTTTATAATCCCATGTCAGTGGTTTCCACAGCCGAAGATTTCATAACCTAGCTTATCTGACAAAATTCCTAAAAATGCACTATAGTACATCAGTTCATTTTAAACATTTTTGTGACATGGACTTTAAACGTAGAGGGCGGTTTTGTGCTGAGTAACTATCAGAGAAACTACCCTGTAAGCAGTCATCAGGCCAATCAGTGGGGTTTTGCTAATCCTCCAGAAGCCATAAACGACCTTCCTAAACACAACTTTCCCTCCTGGAAGTTACTATTATTCAGACCTTTGTGGTAATCATTTCCTTGCTTTTCTTTATTGTTTCATCACAGGTGTTCATCCCCAAGTGTTACATTGTTTAGTTTTCCCCTCTCTTGTGAATGGTATATAAATGAGATAATATGTAATCTGTTTTGCTTACCATATTTGCTCAACTGTGCTGTAATCCATATCTTGTTCAGGCTGTTCATATAACTATAATTTGTTTTTTTAATTGCTGCATATACAATCCTCCATTGTAACAATATGTTGATGGAAGTCTGAGTTCAGTTTGAGGCTGCTATAAATGCTATTGCAAATAATTCCTTAAATCTGTATTCCATTTCATCTCTGCCAGTTTCTGTGTAATCTGTACTTGAGAGTGTATATATAAACATGAATAAATAATGTGTCACTCGATCTTTTAACATGATGCAGTCACATTAGCTACATGTGAGCGCCATTGCTCCGCACCTCACAACTCCTGACCAAACCTCAGTTTTCTCATCCTGGTCAGTGTGGGGATCTCTAATTTCAGTTTTAGCTTACATTTCCCCAGTTTACTGACTTCGTTGAGAAGCCTTCGTGTGTCTACTTTTGTATTAGTCGGGGTTCTCTCTCGGAACAGAATTATAGGAAGGGGATTTGTTGGAATGGTTTACAGGCTGTAGTCCAGCTAGTCCCAACAATAGCTGTCTACCAAGAAAGGGCCAAGCATCCAGCTGTTGTTCAGTCTGTGAGGATGAATGCCTCAGCTGGTTTGCAGTATATGCCTAGAAGTGGGCTCTAACGCCAGTGAAGGAATCAACTTGGCGAGAGCAAGCAGGCAACGAGGGCAAGCTTCCTTCTCCCGTGTCCTTCATATAGGCTGCCAGTGGAAGGGGTAGCCCAGATTAAAGGTGGATCTTTCCTTCCTCTTTGGAAGATCTGGATTAAAAGTGGATCTTTGCTGTAGGCCCATATTTCTATATGGTGTGTCAGCCAGGCTCTGAAGCCATAGGCCCCACCTAAGGTGGTCACGTAGCCTACCAGACTGGCCATCACAACCTAACAAAAGGTCAGGATGTTGTTGGTCCTTTGTAATTTGGAGGATGCCTGATAGAGATGCTGATTCAAGCCTACCTGACAGCTAGCATACAGAGGAGATAGGTAGATGCAGACGTGACAAAAAGCCATTCACCTGGTTACCTAGGAAACAATGCTAATGTATTTCCACCTCAGGACTTCATGAGGAACCACTGAGAATCACCCTCCTGATGAAGCCATGTGAGTTGTGTCTTTATTTTCGCCTCTCCACGCTGACCCAAAGAGAGATAGTTCATGTTGGAGTCTGGTCTAGAGAAATAATTGAGGGTCCAGGCTAGCACCGGACCCCGACACTTCACACTTCAAATGATTGTTAAGGAGAAATCCCATACAGGTGTACCCAGCTGCTTGAGTTAATTAATTAGTTAATTAATTACTTAGTTAATCTAAGCACATTGACACCAAAGAATAGCCGTCACAACTGTAGTGATAACAGTTGGGTTCTTCTTTGTTTTTCTGATGTGAAATCTCCGACATGCCCAAATTCTAGTGTCTTTGTAGTTCATATTTGAATAGCAAGTACAGTAATGCCACCAAATGTTATATTTGAGACAGATTCTTGTTTGTTTGGAGGTGTTTTCAGGACAGGGTTTCCCTGGCTCTCCCACAACTCACTCTGTAGACCAGGCTGGCCTCTATTTGGGGGGGAGGGGTGGGGACAGGTTCTTTCTAAAATAAGAATTGTCTTTCCTAATTACTCTATAAATTGACCATAAACTTTAAAGTAGGATACATACACGTGTATACACATATACTTACATATATTCCTTCCAAAACAATGTGTTTTTCAGCTATTAAAAGTTACTGCTTAGGGGCTGGAGAGATGGCTCAGAGCACTGGCTGCTTTTCCAGAGGTCATGAGTTCAATTCCCAGCAACCACATTGTGGCTCACAGCCATCCATAATGAGATCTGGTGCTCTCTTCTGGCCTGCAGGCAAAACCGTGTATACGTAATAAATTAATAAACATTTAAAAGCTGTTTTTTAAAAGCATTAACATCTTAGGTATAGTTTTCCTCAGTTCATTGTTTACTCTCAAAGCTTTGAGTGAAATCTCTCTTGTTCCTTTATATTTTTCTCAGACAATTAGAAGAAATAGTTTTCTACCAGATCTTTTGTATTTTTCATTTCCTTGGTTAGTAGATTTTATAAAAGTCACAATGGCTCATTCTTTCCACTTACAGTCCCTACTAAAATATATGGAATTATTTTTATAATTTCATTCATCAATTCCACGTGCACTGTGACATACCACCCAATATTCAACTTATTATTTCTTATCTCAGCTCTTTGTTAAGACTCTGATATTTTAAAGCTGGAGGAAGCTGGGGCCTTGAGAAATGAAGTGATTTACCCAGAGTCAGGAAAGCAAGTAAATAGGAAAGCTAGCTCCACCCCGGGTCTTCAAAAAAACGCCATTCTATCACAGTGACTCAGTCTTCTGTAGGAACAGAGCAAACTGATTCCCAGATCTATAGAATATTGTTCAGTCCCACGTAGCAAAGCTCTGAGTGGAACAAGCTTCCTTCTGACCTAAGTGTTTGGGGATCAGTGAAAGACTAGGAGGACTCCCTGGGAAGGAGGACAGTCGAGGGAGATGATCAGTGAAAGACTAGGAGGACTCCCTGGGAAGGAGGACAGTCAAGGGAGATGAAATGGGAATGTAATCAGTAAATAGCGTGAGATTACTTTTTAAAGATTAATAATGCTTAAAATAGATTAATAGGAAACTCACTTTAAAAATGAAATGTTTTTTCCCCTCTGCCCTTCGACTTAGAACCAGTCCACTATATTCCCTGATACATGTGCAAAGAAATTGTCAAAAAGAAGGAGGCAGAAAGCTGACTTGGTGATCGTGCTGGAGGGTGGCAGCCTCAAAGACATTTTAAGAGCATGAAATCCACCCAGGGAGCCTGCAGACTGAGAGCACTCTCTGGGTGGCTTTTCTCATTTGGGTTCGCAAGAGAACTTGATTCTGAAAAGTAAGTGATAAATGGTGACTGGTTTCAATTTTTAACGCAGTAAAATAACTGAATCATTTGTACTCATTCATAATCTAGCCTTAAAACCCCAGAGGCATCTCATTCAGGGTATAACCACTTGGTTTTACCTCGTCATGAAATAGGTAACAAAATCCAGCCACTGCTTTTAAAATGTTGAGTAAAACTGCCTTAGTAATGTATACAAATATTAAGATAAGTCACTTCACTGTTACTTTGTGGCACAAAGGCTTTAGAACATCTGGTTTGTGATTCAGAACTTAAATGCTGAATTTACAGGAAGTTGTAAGAGCACTTGTGCAAATATTACTAGTGCACACTCATTTTTACCTCCAGATTGCCACAATTTGTGGAAAGTAGAAGAGAGTGTTGTACACAGAACATTCGCATTTGCTTGACAAAGTCACACTTCTCTCTGCTTCCTAGCAGTTGGCAAAGTGCAGGAGGTAAAAATGCAATGAGAGAGAAAAATGGGCCAAGGAGATAACTTCTCTGATAGAGATGCCTGCTACCAACCCTGCCAGTCTGACCTCAGTCCCGGCAACCCACACAGTGGAAGGAGAGAACGGCCACAAGCTGCCCGCTCTAACTGCGGAGTGTGTGTGCGTGTGCACGCGTGTGTGCGCACGCGCGCGCGCGCACACACACACACACGCTCAAAGTAACATTTTATTTCACCCCTCCGTTTGTGGAGTTTATAGCCTAATGCCTAGAATGTGACAGGTTGAATAGTCAACCCTCACTACTATCTTTTAAAACTGTTGATTAAGCCGCACTTGGGAGGCAGAGGCAGGCAGATCTCTGAGTTTGAGAAGTGAGGTTCAGGACAGCCAGAGTTACACAGAGAAACCCTGTCTCAAAAACAAAACTTGTTGATCGGCAGTCTCTGATGTATTCTCTGAGTAAATGACTTATAGCTTTTGTCCTCCTGATAAGCAAAGATTTAGTGGAAACGTTTATTTGTTAATTTTAACATTTATGCTGATTTCTAAAACTACAAAGAGCAGAGTACTGTGACTTCATACCCTGCCCACCTAGTTCAGGCATTACCATTCGACAGTTCAGGTCTTGAAGTACTTCAGCAGGAAGTGCTCAGGAAGAGGATGCACCTGTACCTAACCCTCGTCTTTGATCCTCCCTAAGAAAAGTAACAAAAAAAAAATCTGTCTCACTTCAGTTCATAATTAATTTTTCCTGTCCTGCCATTGCTTCCCATGGCTTACCACCCAGCCTGGGTCCAGTCAAGCGTCACACAAAGCATTCTTCAGTTGTGTCTTCTCAGAGGAGTTCAAACTCCCTCTGCCAATACCTTCTGCCTTCTCACCCTTTTCTACAGCCTGCCGTTCTAGTCTATGGAGCAGTTTGAGTTTTTAGTGAAAGATTATCTGTTTTCTTCAGTGGCTTTGCACTTATTTCTGATTTAAATGATCATTTAAAAGGGCTAAAAGCTCATTTAAATCTTTGCTTTAAATGGTATTAAAGAAGCTTTGGATGTCTAACTGTTGAGAAGAGCCGCTGAGTTATGAGCACCCCTATTCTCTGAAAAGAATCTGTGCATCTCTTGGGCACTGCTTCCTTCAATCTCTTTCCAACATGCTTTCCATGGAAGACCTATATTGTTCTTCCAGGCACACCTTAGTACTACTTCTTTTTCTGTCCTTGAATTGACCTTCCTAGGATCCTCTCAAGAGCATCTCGTATTCTCGGTGTGTCTGTTGGTGACCAGAGCAAAACCTACAAGGATTCCCTTTGACTATGCCCCTTTACCCTCTGCCTAAAAGCTTACCACCACAGCCCAGCGCCACCATCTGCCTCTGCTGCATCATCACATTGAGTTACTGTACCTACCTGATCGTAGGAAAGGAAAGGAAATCGCTTTTATCAATACTGTATCACTTAATTTTCAGAAGTCTCATAAAGTAGGCGAAGAGCCTACATTTCCCAGCGTCCTTCACAGTTAGACTGGGCCATGCGCAGTTAGCCTTGCAGCTAAGACTTGGCATCTTATCAATAAGTTCTTTTACTAACTGCCATTCTTAACTCCAAACCTAAAGGCTGCTGTATCACTAAGAACTTCATCCCTACAAGTCTTCTCATGAAATAATTGGTGATTTCTTCCCGCCTGTCATGGCAGAAACAGAAGACATTCAGGTAGTGTGCCACATGTGCAGGAACTGGCCTCTACCACTGTGTGCTGAGGTGTTGTCCTTGAGTACAGACAGTGAGCATAAAGAAATCAAGTGAGTGTGTGCGCTCTAACCTAGTGAGCCTGGGCTGCATCTGCCTTGTGACCTGATAGGACAATGCTACCCACTTTGGTGATGCTAGGTTACAGAACCATGAGTTTGGAATTGCAACCTAAACAATAAAGAACTTGTAAGACAAGACTCAGGAGGCAAGGCTGTAGAATCCAGAGTTGGATGCCAGCCTTGGTTTCATAGTGAGACCCTGCCTTTAAAAGCTCTAAAAACATTGGCTCTTCTGTAATAGGTGCTACGTTAAATCAGCTCTCTTTCAGGAAGGTGTTTTTCAACAAACAAGTTTCCGTTTCAAAGATGTACTGTTTGGGCACTCCAGGGTTAGCATCTCCCTCTCTAGCCAAATAAAAGTCAGTCATGGCCTACTGTTTTACATGAAGGAATTCACATGAGAAGTTCAATGCCAGCTATCTGCCCCACGGCCAGCATCCTCACACTGCTCCAACGCCGGCACCACGGCTGCGCCGGCACCACGGCTGGCGTCCTCACACTCTTCCGACGCCGGCACATGAGCTGGACACTACTGTTCTTTCGCTTCATAACCAAAGACTGTTCTACCCAGCCGCCTTTTAGGTTTAGAGGTAAGAAGAATGGCAGTTAGTAAAAGAACCTACTTGGAACTTAGGGAACATCTTCTAAATCTACATCAGTTATCTGGGAGGTAGATGGTTCAGTGACTAAAACATTGGGGACCAGAGTTTAAATTCCCAAAACCTACGTGAGAAAGTCATGTCGGTACGGCTACCCACCTACAGTTCTAATGCTCAAAAGATGGAGCGCCGATTCCTGGACCAAGCCAACCAGCCAAACTAGCCTTATTGTCAAGCCCTGCGTTCACTCCATGAAGGTGAAGAGAGATCAAAGCAGACTCATGTCAACCTTGGGCCGCAACACGCATGTACACACAGCCACACAAATGAGCAGGGGAGAGGATCCACATCAGATTCAGTTTCCCTAAAACTGTTGGCCAACTGCTAGTTCAGGGAATCTCTCAGCAACTGTATCTCATTGTATCTTCTTCAGATGACACATTTGTTGCTCTGAACCTTAGGTTCTCCTCAAATCTCCTTAAAGCAGTCTGAAACACAGATTCCTTTCAGTGTATTAAGTAACAATTCCCCATTCTCCTTTTCTCATAAACACATGCACACAACCCACCACACTTGGGATTAATGAACGGTGCAAATTACACAACTGCCATAAATATATTGACGGTTATGGTTTCTCTTCCTACAAGTTCGCCCCGAGGAGGGCATTGCTATGCAGTTCCATAATCCCAGCATTCAGGAGTTGGAAGCCTGAGGATGAGGAGGTGATGGCCAGCCTGGACTATATAGTGAAACTTAAAAATAGAAGAGGAGGAAGGGGAAGATGAGGAGGGAACGTTGGCTGACAGGGAGTCCAAAACTGATGCAGATGCTCACTGACACCATCTGGTACCCAGGTGTGTCCATTTCTTCTCTCCACTGTGTAGCCATACACCAGAAAGAAACACAGAAAGGGAAGATGATGGCAAGAAAGACACAATAGTTGGGAACTTCCCTTGGCAATAGAAGCTCCCAGTGTGGCTTGTTTGCATTTTGATAGGACGCTCAAAAACTTGACTAGAACCAAGTACACCTTCAAAGCCTTATCCCCACTGACCCACCTCAGGGTAACTGGGCATCACCT